GTTTAACTAGAAATAGTATTTCGAAAGTTATTAAGCACAAAAGATGAATTGCGTTTATTTTGATACACCCTTGATATATGTATATATATATATATATATATATATATATATATATATATATATATATATATATATATATATATATATATATATAAACTATATATATATATATATATATATATATATATATATATATATATATATATATATATATATATATATATATATATATATATATAAATATGAGTCATCATGCTTTGAATAGGGATGACACGCGCCTATTTCCCAGAAGAAAATATGCATCTTCTTGGCAGGTGACGTCATCCCTTGGGTATTTAAGAAGCCACGATCGCAGTTTTAGATCACCCCTGATGAAGACACTAGACTGGAGTGTCGAAACGTTGGGTCTTGATTAAAATTCGACTGGGCTTTGTAATCATTTATTTAAAGCAGAGTAGCGAGCGAAACATGAACGTATTGAAAGCATTAACAGAAAGCAATAATGAGGCAATTTTACGCTTAATGGCCCAAGTTGTTGACAATAGCTTAATTTATGTACTTCAAACACACAAATCAAACACAGTGTTAGACTACGACTCGTCTTTTACACGCTTTTCTTGTGTTCTCCCAACATCTCTCTCGTACTTTATCACAGCATAAGCACTCGGGCCCGTTTTCTGTTTCGTAAATAAACGATCTCTCTCTCTCTCGTCGCTGTTTACCTCAACTTAGTTTGTTGTAAGCGGGAAAAAATGAAATATTTTAGTATGTTCGACACGTGAATTATGTGCTTTGCAATGTGGAAACTAACCAGCTACAACAGTAAACTTATTGATTATATAACAATTGGATTGTGCGGAGCTCGAGATTAATTTTATATGAAGCGATAGTCGACTCAAAGAAATCGAGAGCGGATAATCTATTAATTGTTTAGTGTAGAAACTAACCTAGATTCGGTAATTTCGTCAAATTTATTTTTTTGAAATATGATACGCATTGCGTCATGTGGTTAGCCTACAGGATTAACAATTGCTATTGCGTCATATAGCTGATTTCGTTCAATATAATGAACGAAATATCTTGCTTGATTATTCAACGATTGAACCATAAATTTTTATTCTTCGTTCTTTGTCGTATTAAACCAGATACCGTATAACATAGCCTTAATACAGCAACCTTTTAAAAACAAATAAGAGAATATGTTTGCGATGTTACTCTGAGTGCATATCCACACCGGCGGAGCTTGAAAAATATGCCCTGCCACGGTGGGATTCGAACCTACGACCTTTGGAATACTAGCCCAATGCTCTTCCAACTGAGCTACGCGGTCAGGACGGTTCGAGTAAGTGATATTTCGGAACATTCTCTAGTTCCTTCAATACCAATGTGTTGCCCGGTGTGGATATGCTCTCAGAGTAATATCGCAAACATATTATTAACCTGAGTACACAACACCAACACACACACAAAAAAAAAAATTCAAATCAGAGAATATTAAATTAACTCGCGGCTAAAATAAAATTATTAAATTAAACGGCTAAAATAAAATTGTAAAATTCTTTCTCGCTCAATCCCAAGCATCCTAGGTCGCTAAAAGCTGCCAACCTTTGGATGTTCATATCCTGAGTTCAGTGCATGCTATGAACACAATAATACCACCATTTGATTCAGTGAAAAAATCAAATAGTTCCTTACAATATTTTTAGTCATTATCAACACTGTAGCGATTTATTGCCTCTGAAAGGCAAGCGAGATTTTATATTATCGAATTACTCAATATATAAAAATATAAACTGGCCGTTCCTTTCGCTGAACATAACTTCGGACACGCTACACGGGTAATGTGACTCGAATCGGTTTCCGACATTTCCTGAGTGCTAGGACAGCATTGTTTCGACAATCAGTTAGTATTTCCGATTGAAGCTCTCACTAAAAATTTAGATATTCTGAAATACCGAAATAAAAGACGCAAATCTGTAGATACAAGCTTGAAATTAATACTCTGAATAGTGTTTTGGATTCTGATTCGAACAAGACTATTACGGAAAAGATACATTCAAAGGGACCGAAGTTCTGTTCGGCGAATGGTAAGACGGTGACAAGAAACGTTTCACACTTTAAGAAGGTAGTAAATGAGGAAAGCGAGGAGGAGCAGGAAGATACAACACCGGGAAGATCGACGGAAACAGAGGAACCACAAAAGCAAGAACCAAGTGTAAGTAGATCAACAAGAATATAAAGACCGGTAATACGATATCAGTACCAGACTTGACGTTATAAACAGGAAAACGATATAAACGTTTAAATTATAGAAACATCAGACAACGTTGATTTACCTAATTTAATACGAAAATAAGGCAAGGAGATTTTATTAAGTGGTCGACATTCAGTTAAAAAAATAGAGGGAGAGTAATGTACGTAGTATTTCTAGGATGCGATAAGTTAATAATTAACTTCTAAGCATGTAACAAACGTTGATTGACATTTGTAATAAATCATCATTCAGTCTATTCTATATTACCAAAAACCTTGAACGATATGCAAGTGACCAACACTTTATATTTTACAAATATAACTACTGTAATAGAGTGACATGTCATGCCGTCGCCTCTCAAGACATGCCGCGATGGCAGCTCCTCTCCAGCGCAGAAAGTATTTTTATAGCGGAACAAACGGGACAAACTAAGCTAATCTCAAATAATCCACACTGCGTAAGCATTTTAAATTTAATACGTTCGTATTATTTCTGTATTTTCTTAACATCAAGTTCTGCGTGATTTATAAACACTTTTTTTGTCCAGCCAATCACATCACTTCATGTGACTGCTAAATATAACTAACCAATCATGTGCTTGGTACAAATTTTGTATCATAGATGAGAGATTTGTATCGCATTGGCCCAGAGGTTCTCTTCGCCTCGCGTAAAATAAATACGTGCGGGAATAAGGCGAAAGATACAGAACCTCTGGCAACCAGGGTAGACTCATTCATGAATGGGTTCGAATGCTTGCAACAAAACTGCAATTTCTCTGTTCTTAAGTTGGGTTCATTTATTAGAGGATAGGGCTGGGTGGGGGGCAGCAAAACTTCAATTTCTCTGTTCTTAAGATGGTTTCATTTATTAGAGGATAGGCAGGGGGGGGGGGGTGTTATGACTCGGGAATAGCTTAGTGATCGACCGATAATCGGTATCGAACTATTTTCTATTTTAGCCTTATTGCGGTAATCAATCTGGTCCAGTAGAATTATATGTATTTTCGATTGTGTAAAATTGATTGTTGAGAAATATACGTACTTTATCCCCGAGTCAACGGCGCGGAGCACCGTTCCGGGCGTAAGCCCGGGGCAAGGGTATTAATTCCACCCGGCTATTTACACCCGGGAAAACGAAAGCATTACTGTTTACACCCGGGGAAACGAAAGCAGTGGTCATCCTCACTGATCTCAAATAATAGCGAACACTGATTGGTCAAATTTGAAATTTGCATTATAACGACTGCATGACGATTGCGAAATAGCTAACATTTCTTGATTTGATCATTTATTGAACATGTATTTCATTTTTGCAAGATTTTGTGAATTTCAAACCCTTTTTAAGAAAATAAAGGCGAAAGAATTTTTAAAAGAGGGGAGTAAAAGCGCCGACGTTAACGAAGTTTGGTATTTTAAATATTGATGTATTGTTCGCTTTATAATTGCTTTTAATAAAATTTATAAAATATTTTAAATGTCATTGAAAAAGACAGCATGCAATTTCACTTTTTTTCTATTGATTACCTTAAAGAAAGAAAATTAAAGTTGTTTAAATGCGAGTAGATTCGCCAGTCCTGCTCAAAAATTGGTATCGCGCACAACTCGGACCCTTTTCCCAGTCACCTCGGCACTTCCGTACCCCTGAAGTTTTTGAAAAATGTTGAGACGAAGTTGCAGGTTAAGAAACATGTGGCAAAAAGACTTTTAGATAACACCACTAGCACATTAACTCCTAAAATGAGTCAAAAAGTGTACATAAAAATGTAAATTTTATTTTGTAGTTAAAATCTAAAAACTGTTTTGTTAACAAAAATAAGAAGTACGCGGACAAGTTGCGCGAACTTCCTTGAAAATACTCGTAAGAATACAAAAACCTTAAACTTGATCATTTTTTCTCAAAGTCCATGTTTTAAAAAGGATATCTATTCATCCAGTACTACCCAACTGAAATTATTGGTTTTATGTTCCGCATTGCCATACGGATACCAGCACGTGTCACCTTTAGCTTTTCCTGGGATAGTTCCCCAATCTGTTTCTGCAACTGCGGCGTAGACATATCCAGCCCCGTCAGTCTGGTATCCGGATAGAATTGCTAATGGAGGCGGTGAATCACTTTTCACGAGTTTAGTGGGACGTATGGATGTCACATAAGCGAATTCTTGGGAAGTACGATATTCTTTCCAAAAATAGGAATACCAGCAAGTACCATTTTTATCAGCTTTTCCCGGAATTGTACCCCACTCGGTCTTCGCTATAGCAACCCACATGTCTTCTTCTCACTGTTTGCCTAATTTTAGGGCATTTCCCGGAGGACTAGACGACTCAACGTAACCGACGACGGCATACTGATCAGACATGACTATAGTGTTTCTGAAAAGAAGCAGTTATAATGAAATTAGCAATGTTATCCCGGCCAACATGAGAGTTGGGGCAGGTTCAGCAAACAATCTGCGTTTACGCCGACGCGTGCTGAATCTCAGGCCAGCCTCACGTATGTGAACAACCTACAGGTATAACACGTAAATCCCCCGTCTGCCGACTCCGAAATTTTCTGAATAGGGAAAGCTGGAGTTTTAAACGAAACAATTATCATCCCCAAGATGTAATTTACCCAAAATTTAACATGACGGGCAACATTGCGTAGTTTCCACAAAAGTGGTAGAATGAATATATTTACACCTCACTTTTTGGAATTAAACAAAAATATGTATATTGGTGTTATGTACTCATGTGAATATGGTGTGTGGCCAACTAACTTTTCAGCTTCCACGGTGTGGATGCACACTCAGAGTAACATCACTAACATATAATAATATGTATAGTTAAACATTTGAAACTATAAAAATTACAATACCATCGAACTAAGACGAAAATGAAGCAGTATATTAATTGATATATACCTTGATAACTGTAATTCTGGATTTCACTGTTCCAACCGTTCTTCAGAGATCTTCAACAAGTGATGAAACTTGAACTCGTCTCGTCCAAATTTATACGATCGTGCACTTTATCAACGACGCTTGCCGACAAATTATTCGACAAACCTGAAAAATAAAAAACATTTCTCGATTGAGCATTGACGTACGTATATCACGCACTTTGTCTTCTTTATAATTCTTGAAACAACTTGTATGATAATTTATTACAAACACTCAAACCCTCTGTATGGTAATTACAATCAAGCCCTCTGTATGGTAATTACAAACACGTATTGAAAGCATTAACAGAAAGGAATAATGAGGCAATTTTACGCTTAATGGCCCAAGTTGTTGACAATAGCTTAATTTATATGCTTCAAACACACAAATCAAACACAGTGTTAGACAACGACTCGTCTTTTACACGCTTTTCTTGTGTTCTCCCAACATCTCTCTCGTACTTTATCACAGCATAAAGCACTCGGACTCGTCTTCTATTTCGTAAACAAACGATCTCTCTCTCTTCGCTGTTTACCTCAACTTAGTTTGTTGTAAGCGGGAAAAAAATGAAATATTTTAGTATGTTCGACACGTGAATTATATGCTGTGCGATGCGGAAACTAACTAGCTACAACAGTAAACTTATTGATTATATAACAATTGGATTATGCGGAGCTCGAGATTAATTTTATATGAAGCCATAGTCGACTCATAGGAGTCGAGAGCGGATACTCTATTAATTGTTTAGTGTAGAAACTAACCTAGATTCGGTAATATCTTCAAATTTATTTTTTTGAAACATGAACACAATTTTGGTGCGAAAACTCGTCTGTATATGCTATCATTTGCCTCTTCTATGGTACCAAACGCACATACAGTACGTATCGACGCAATGGAAATTCAATCGAGCAGCACCGCAATCTAAATCAAAACTAACATCACGCTTAAGACAACCAAATCCGATAATTAACAGCAACCGAAGTGTTAAGTTATCTCTAAGGAGTTCCTTTGATCTCTCAGTCGAGTCTTAGAAGATTTCATCCTCCGCTTAATATAACCTCATCATGGCTTTCTTTCAATGGTTTCAACACGTGCTTTTACCATGTAAAGGGTTTGAAGAACTACTTTACCGATGTCAATGTTTCGACGCGGAAAACTGTGCACTTTCTGATCGCATTCCTTGGATGTGACAATTGAGTGGGTTATCTTCATATCACTATGTCTGACTAGTGACTATACGGATCATTATGTGGTATTATAGGAGCGCATTTCAAAGATACGGTTGACTATAGTAGGACCAGTTTCATCAGGATAGATTTCGAACGTCATTTCTTTTCCAGTGTTAGTAATCGCAGAAAATTAAACTGATAATATTGGGTTTCCTGAACTGAAGTCAAATAGGAAGTATTTTCCTGGCTTGTGCATGACAGTAGTTGAAAAAATAGGTACGCATTGCGTTATGTGGTTAGCCTATAGGATTAATTAACAATTGTTATTGCGTCATATAGCTGATTTCGTTCAATATAATGAACAAAATATTTTGGTTGATTATTCAACCATTCAACCATAAATTTTTATTCCTCGTTCTTTATCGTATTAAACCAGATACGTATAACATAGGCTTAATACAGCAACCTTTTAAAAACAAGTCAGAGAATATTAAATTAACTCGCGGCTAAAATAAAATTATTAAATTAAACGGCTAAAATAAAATTGTAAAACTAAAAGCTGCCAACCTTTGGACGTTCATATCCTGAGTTCAGGGTATGCTATGAACACAATAATACCACCATTTGATTCAGTGAATAAGCAAATAGTTCCTTACAATAGTTTTAGTCATTATCAACACTGTAGCGATTTATTGCCTCTGAAAGGCAAGCGAGATTGTATATTATCGAATTACTCAAAAAATTCGAATTACTCAAAAAACTGGCCGTACCTTTCGCTGAACATAACTTCGGACACGCTACAGGGGTATTGGGTAATGTGACTCGAATCGGTTTCCTACGTTTCCCGAGTGCTAGGACAGCATTGTTTCAACAATCAGTTAGTATTTCCGGTCGAAGCCCTCACTAAAAATTTAGATATTCTGAGATACCGAAATAAAAGATGCAAATCTGTAGATACAATCTTGAAAATGACACTCTGAATAGTGTTTTGGATTCTGATTCTAACAAGAATATTACGGAAAAGAAACATTCAAAGGGACCGAAGTTCTGTTCGGCGAAATGTTATGCACTTATGCCTTGGTAATACCTTGACGTTTGTTTACATTGTTCGGGAAAATTGTGTGGAATATGGTATCGCTTGACTTAGTAAAATCATAAATCGCTATAATGTTCAGGTTGTCATTTTACTAAAACCATCCATAGGATTTGTTTCACTGAATTGAACGATGGTATTTTCATCCACGTAGCATGCACTGAACCAAAGATATATGAACCTCCAAAGTAAACCCACGATATGAGATGTCCATATCGATCTGCTTTAATTATGCGCAAGCGAAAGAGTATGCTAGAACCTTTAGCTACAAAATTTCATAAACCAACGACTCTTTCGTATGCGTTTAATTAACTACAATATTTCGCACATGCGCAGACGAAAAACAGTCAGACTAAACAATTTTATGGTTTTCGGATATATCTCAATTTTCGTGGCGGTTTACGGTGAAGAAATAATCACTCGGTAATGGAAAATCGTTGAGCATAGACAATATTAGATAACTCATAAGCTCCTTTGGAAGATTGGCTGCCAGTTCACAAAAATAAAATGTAATAGAGTATAGTAAATTTGTCATTGAGTCAGGCTATCTGCTATCAAAAAATGGTCCCAACCTGGGGAGTAGGCGGAACTGCAGTTCGTAAATTATAGATCAGTTCTTTCGCAAAGTACAAAATGCCTTACTATATGCAGTGTTGAAACTGTCAATTTCTTATCGTTATTGTTTCAAAGTTTGAATAATCGTGAGTCTGCATAAAATGCGAGCCATGCGAGGTACCCAAAACTTGCGATTGACACATCATTCATCAATTAACAATTATTGAATGAGTTTGAGCACGATATGAAGAATTATCAAGCCCGAAGTTTGCCGTTATCAACCGAAGCCGAAGGCTGATGTTGATAACGGCAAACTGAGGGGTTGATAATTCTCCATATTGTGCGAAAACCGAATTCAATGATTGTTTTATTATTTATTTAAAAATTTCAAAGCAAACACTTGTATTTTATTAGTTATGAGAAGAAAACAATTCCCTAGTCCTTCGGCAGCTATCGTTGCGTCATTTCAATGGTTTCAGCGATCAGTATGATTCTCGTCGTCATAGTAATATGGCGGAAACGCGTCCAAATTTTTTTCATATTTATTATTTGACGTCACATTGCTAGTATGAATGTGAAAAATCCGTATTTGGTTAGCCATTGAGTTGATATGACAATTTCACAGTTGGCTGTTAGCCAATCAGAAACCAGAATTTTTTTAAATAAACAATAAAATTATTAATAGAGCAGCGAGCCGTGCATATTTTGCAGAAACGTTTCTATCAGATGAAATTAATTTGTACCAGTATATTATATTGTATATAATTTTAATTAAAAACTTATATGCTGAAAACAATGTTTTCTGTTTAATTTATAAGTTGCGGAATAAATGTTGAAGATAGCCATATCTTCACATGATGCAGTATCAAAATCGACAATGTTTTTGTCTTATTAATAAACATTTTTATGAATACGGCAAGCACACTGCAACTATACTAAATTCAACGAAATTGAATCTAAGTTTCGCTTTATAGCTTTATTTATTGCAGACTGCATGTTCTCACAGGGGTCGACGTTTATATGTAGTGGTCCATGTAACTATCACCGGACGAAACTTGAACTGGACTCAATTTATTTATACCAGAGGATACTATAGTTTTCTTAGTTTAGATCGTGAATTTGTCCTTACTCTTTAACACTGTTATTCTTGCCAAATATACTTAATTCTTCGTTGTCAACATTCGTCATATCATTTTGTTTTGGAATTCAATCTGCATTACCCAGTGATTAAATTGTTCTACGTCGAGGTCCAGTGTAAAAAGACAGTAAACTATAGATTACTTCATTTCAGTAATATATATTCAGTGTTTTTCAGTGTATAAATTTCAATTTCGCCGTGAAAGGCTTTGTATATGATTGCATGGCGGAAATATATTTGTTTGGTATTTGTGGAAACATCACGTTTATTTTGTATTACTAGCTTTCGATATGTATATAAACCTGCATGGATCTTCGATCACCAGTGTATTAAGTTATTATTGCTCCAACGCTGACTTGGTTTGAAAGCTCGCCAAAGGCGAGACAAAGAAATGAACATGTCAACAAAACAAAACAATTATTATATTTATTTTTATCATGCATGCAAACCTTCAAGGTCAAGAACCTTATTATGCTTTATGACAATGTTATCGAGATAACGAAATATCTTTAAAAACCACAATTACATTAATTATTGAAAAAAGACACAAAATGCTTGAAAACGTGGATCCAAATCAGTGGCGTAAAAGCTTGTAAAAGTGGGGGGGGGGCAACTCCCACGAAGCGCCACCATAGTTTGCACCGAGTGCAGGGCCGTGCCACACCTCCCCCCCAAAGAAAAATTAACCCAACTTGCGGAGAGGGGGTCCTGGAAAGCTGGAAGATTTTTTTGCTCCCCCCCCCTTTTATGGTTTGGCCAAATGGGAGGAGCCCAATTTTTTTATTTCACACGCCCCCCCCAAAAAAAGAACCACTTGGCACGGCCCTGGACAAACGAGAAAATGTTTGAAAATTTAGAGTCTTCTTTAGCACTTTCGTTGTGCTCTTTCAAATTCTGTCATTATGATTTCTAAAGTATAAATATGTTTACTTTATGGTTTGCTACTGCATTAGATGATAACTATTTGAGGAAGTAAATACCGCCGCCTAACAAGCAGCATAGACCAAAAACATCAAATGACGAAAGACAAACAAAGATGTTGTTATTAACAGGGGCGGATCTAGGGGTCGTCAAACCAGTCACGCGACTAACGTAAAAATTGCAAACTTAATTAAAGTCTTAAATATTCGACCAATAGTCCAGTTATTTTTTATCATGCAGCGACACCTTATAATAGTCCAGTAACTATTATCATGCAGCGCTAGCAATTAACATTCCAATCTAACTGAAGTCCA